GCACCTCTAGGGGAAGGGAATTCCAAAGTCTTGGGCCATATGGAGCAAAGGATCGATCACCCCATTTTTTATACCACGATCGCGGGACAACCAAAGACAAGTGTTCTGAAGAGTGCAAGGCTCTTTGTGGCACGTAAATTGATAGCATGGCAGACAAATAAGGCGGAGCCAGGCCGTGGATGGCCTTAAAAACACATACCAGAGTCTTAAACCTGACTCTATTCTCAATGGGAAGCCAATGAAGGGAGCGGAAAATCGGGGTAACGTGGGCAAACCTGGGCGCACTGACTAGAAGCCGGGCTGCTGAATTTTGAACTAATTGTAGTTTCTGGAGCAAACACTGGGATACCCCAGCATATGACACTACCTCTTCACTCTGTAGCCGCTGGTTCAGACTTTTAGCTGCCCACAGCTCCTCCATGGCTGTTTGACATGACTACTGAAAAAAACCCTTCTTCTAACCTTGGCTAGGCGGCAGGTGGGGCTGATTTACAGACTGTACTTTGACAACACAGGGTGGAGAAGCTGGAATAACAACAGGAGGCTGTAAGCAGCAGAGGGTCATGGAGGGGGGGTGTAGCTGAGAGACACCATGTCCTGTCCCACTGCCACTGAGGTTATCAGACAGTGTGGGGAATCTTAAACCCTGAGTCACTTTGAGAAGCATTTTTGCCGAGACCCCAGCATACACCACGAATGCAGGATCAGTCAGAGGATGATTAATGAAATGGCAGCTCACTGGTATCTCTCAGGCCTTGGTGTCATCCACTCCTCTTCCCCCTTCAGCACTTTGGCACAGCTGAGCATGAGGCTCATCCTCCAGTGAGAATTTAGATCCATTTAGAAGCAGGCCAACAGCCAACATCTGACACCGTCACAGTTTAGCAGAATGACACTGGCTATCTCTCTCACACACAGATACACACCTGTGATGGAGATAAGCAAAGAAGTGGGAAGTCTTAAGATTGTGGAAGTGTGTGAATGTACTGGTCATTGTTTAAAGATGTGTGTTGATTTGTTAGGGATGCTTGTGGGTATGTAAAAGGCTGGTGAGAAGGAGAGAAGTGATAAAAATGCCCTGTTACAGTGACACATAGGTGGCTGAAAGGACAAGGATGAGGGGTAGAAGAGAAGGAGACCGGGCTGGAGACTCTCTTATAGTTTTACTACCGTCACATATCATATTGTGTCATATTAGTCTGTCAGTCAGTCAGTCAGTCAACACAAAGGTCTTGGTTTGATCAGATACAGTAAATGATGACAGTAATTTATCAGGCAAAAATTCTAAGCCTGCTCTTGTTCTAGCTTCTTACAATCTTTAAATTCTTTAAGACCTACAGACAAAATTCCATTCACATCCTCATCTGAAAATTTGAGCATACTGTATAAAACCTTTAAATCCAAAACAGAGGCTGACACTAAAATCCATATGCATTTACACAGCATAAATCATATTGCTGACAAGCTGCATGTAAAACACAGGTTTTTCAGTAACCAGGTTACCAGATTTTCTTCTGTAACCTGATTTTACACAGTAACCTGGTTTCTTCTGTGATTAATTATGGGATAACACCACTCCTAGAGGGTTTAACGCAATGCCTTGTGCTTCACACTGTGACAGGAGCATCCATGTCACATCCAATATCTCTTTGTGTGTTTATGAGCGAGACAGAGGAGGAAGGCGAAATCATTTTAAAAGCTCCAATGTGGGAAAGCTCTTGTCATCATTGGTGTTCAGAAGTGTCGTGACAGCTGGCTCATAGTGTCTTCCTTCATGTAGTACTAGTGCAGAGTGTGTGTTAGTGTCACATCTTCTGTTAATCACAATGCCCGTGGTGCTCAGTGGGTCCTGCCACCTGCTCTGTCTTTGTGGTGGCTGCAGTGCGGTTGCCCGAGGAGTCCCTCTTGTTTCAGTTTCATTTTACGTCTCAGCCAGGCCTGCTGCGGTGTGAGGCTTACAGGACTAAAGCTGGTGTGTTTCCACATGGACACTGTTTTCCGCTCCTATCCTAGTGATCAACTCTGGCCCAGATCTTCTCAGCTAATGCATAACAGCAATGGCCAAGTGATAATCCAAAAATCAGACCAAGAAGAGTTTTTTCTTTGTAAAGAAAAGTTAATTTTCTGAGTATCTCTGTTGTGAGGAAACTGTTCAGGAGAGAACCAGTGTAATGGAAACTACTGTCCAAGCCTAAAATAGTCGCCTGTGCAGTAATAATGTTGATTTAGACATGTGAAAGGCCCGGCCACCAGACACTCGCAGACAAGCTCCCCTACTTCCTGAACCTGTTGCCACCGCGGCCCAATCTCGGGTAAGTGGAAGAAAACGGATGGATGGAGATCAATAGATAGCTTTTACTGTTATTACATAGAATATAACAAAATTATACAGCAGCTCCCAAAACACTAATATAGAATAAAGTAATTAAATAACATCATAAAATAATGTCAACAAGTAGAAATGCCCCAAAGTTATAACATCACAATAAATAACATAATAATGAGGTCTAATGTGCCATCATAAGAGCATCCAGACCTATAATAAGGTTTGAAAGCAACATTAACTCTCCAATACATGTGGACAGCGTGTACACATACTGGCACATCACATACCCATATGTTTCCCAAGTGTAAAACATCTAATGTTGAGCATTTAGGATTCTGATAACCGGGGGGAAGAAACTACCTTTTATTCTTGTTGTTTGAGCTTTGATTGATCTGCATATCCTGGAGGTCAAATAAATGGTGTGCTGGATGCATTTGGCCCCTGATGATGATCCCTGCACAGCATTTACATCTACCAGAGCAGATGGAAGAGATATCCCGGGGTGAGACACCAAAATGCTATTTAAATTCGTACCATCTCAGTGCAGTTTTACTTTGTTTTGGGGCGTTAAGTCACTGTCTTCATTTGAACTTCTTCATTTGAACAAGTGAAAGAGCAAGAAACAAGTAGAGTAAATTATTTAAACCCATAACTGCAAGTACTGCCATTTTTAAAATCCTGAGAGGTCCTGGATCGTCAAATTTTACCAAGTATCAGCTAAATACAGTAAGAGGAGCTCATGGTTGCTTCACTGTCTTTGTGTTTTTGTACTTGTAAACTTACTCTAATGAAGTTTTATTCAGGTCTTTTTAGCTTTTAAGCTGCAGTGAATGTTTTAACACCCAGTAGTAATACACAAGTTAATAAGTAATAGGAACCATCAAGTGTAAATGGTTACTGTGTATGCAGATTCAAGAAGGTGCGAGGTTGGATGTGCAGTGGGGTTTTTACGACTAGTACTTTGAGCATCGTCTTTGTGTGTGTGTATGTGGTGTGTAAACCTGTGAGCACCGCAGTGTGTGTTTGATGTTCCATTTATCCTTTTTCATAATTCATTGCATTGGGAGAATGGACTGAAGGTGGCTATCGTGTGCGTGTGCGTGCGCTCGTGTGTGTAGCAGGATAACAGAGTGAGCGTTCTGCAATCGTAGATGAAACAGACAAGAGTGGGTCTTTGAAATGCAAAGAGTGGGGATTGGCCGCCGTGTCGAGGAGGAGCAAGGAGTTTTTCCTCAGCATTTCATCATAATACACACACTCTCGCTTTCTCACACACCACATTGGTTATTAATGACAGTATTGTTAATTTGTTATTATTGTATTTAACTCTGACATAAACCAGGCTAATTCAGTGCAGCTCTGAGCTCTGGAGGGTTTGTGTGTGTTTTGTGTGTCTGTCTTGCAGTGAGTGTAATGCTGGCTCACATAGACACACACTGTCTAGTGGTGGGCCCTGAGGACCAATTTATTTACATGCAGTGGAAGAGGAACAGAGAATTGGAGGAAGGAATAAAACAAAAAAGGGAAGGAGAGAGAAAGAGGAAACAGCAGGGAATTATGGAGAAAACCCAGCGGAACGAAGAAGTTTCTCTGCAGTTCCCAAGGCCAGACAAGACCAGTTTACTCTTTAAATGGCTCAGTGTTTGTGTTTTGTTTTGCCAAGTTTTTTGTGATTTGTGTCATATTTCTAGAAGCACTGCCATCATTGGCGCCCAACTGTTCTACTTGCACTGTTAAGAAGTAACAAAACTAAAGGTAAAACTGCAAAGCTCTGCTGCAGTGCCATCTCTTCAGTTTGGAAACAAGGCAGCAGTCAGTGGGGCATCATCTACAAACACTGCAGTTATAGTCTGGTAAAGTAAATTTTGGTAAAACAGTAAACTTTCAGTAAGCTGTGTCCCATCAGTGTTAGTGGATTTATGGCTGCTGATGCCCAAATGCAGCTATGCACACTGGCGACCCCTGGTGGCTGTAATTTCTCTTTCAGCAGTAATTGCAAAAATATTTTTTGTTTTATTATGCGGTTAGAGATTGGGAGGGGGTAGGAGAGTGGAAGGATTAAGGAGGTTATAAAGTGTCACCATGGCAGGAATAGGGTTGGGAAAATGGGGGCACTCTGTACAGTGTGGAGACATAAATAATGCTCTGTGGCTTTATTGTATCATCCTGCTGCACCTGCACACTGTTCATCTTTGTATAAGGTGTTTAAAAGTTATAAACTTTGTCCCCTTGGAATAGTTCTTTAAGCCAAATGCTCTGGTGCTGTCATTTAGGAAACTGTTCTTGTCAACTTCCAGCATGGAGCAGATTTCATACTGATGCTTATATGGACAGCAGAGTGTCATCGGTGTAAAAAGAGACGATAAGGGTCTCGGTTAGCTGGAATTACATGCTTGTCTTTTTTAACATTC